ACCGGGCGGGGCAGTCACGGCCCCACCTGCGGGCGCCGGCTCTTAAACCTGGCGGGGCGGGGCCTCCGGGGTCGGATGCTCCTGGGAAGCTTCAGGCAGCCTCCCAGCCCGGGAGAGGCGAGATCGGAACAACACCAGGGTCTTTACTCTCCCTCTTCCTCACGTTCAGAAATGATCATACCGGGTGGAATCCAAGCACCCAGGAGGCTGAGACAGGAAGATCACTGAGAGTTCGAGGCCAGCCTGAGTTATGTAGTGAGTTGAAGGCCAGTCTGAACTACAGAGCAAAACCCTGTCTCTGAAAATGCCCATCCTGGAGCTGTGTGTGTGTGTGTGTGTGTGTGTGTGTGTGTGTGTGTGTGTGTGAAGGAGGAGACTTTGACTTCTCTCTGGCTTTCTGGTGATTCTGGCCACATTGTCTTTGCCCCTCGGTTGCAGGGGCAGTGAGCTCCCCCAGCCCTGCTAGGGTGGAACCAGTTCTGAGGAGAATGGAGCAGTATCCACCTGTCAGACCTTCATTAATCCGAGCCATCTTTGAAGCAGAAGCGCTGACCAGATTCACCTATGACCCAACATTTTTAAAAATTTAAATAATTTATTTATAAGCATGGTGAAATGTCAGGTTGAGGTGTTTCACGCCTGTAATCCCAGTTACTTGAGAGGCCAACACGGGACGATAGCAAATTCGAGCCCCTTTTGGGCAATCTGGTGAGATCCTGTCTCAAAATAAAAAAGGCTGGACGTAGTAGGGGCACACCAATCCCAGCACTTGGGAGGCGGATGAGGAGGATCACCACCGGTTTGAGGGTAGTCTGGGCTAGTGAGTTCAAGGCCAGTCTGGACTACAAAGGGAGACCCTGTCTCAATTCAATTAAACTAAATAAAAAGGGCTGGGGATGTAGCTCACTCTCCTAGGTTTGATCCCACTGCCACCAAAAAGAGACTGGAGAGAAAAAGAGAGAAAAGTAAATTTGCCACCTTGTCTCCAGATGCTTGAATACACTGCTCTGATTATTCATTTCTTTTAAATCATTCCAGGAATTTTCTTTTCCTTTTTTTTTTTTTTTTTTTAAGATAGGGTCTCACTATGCAGTTCAGGCTGGCCTTGAACTCACTGTGTAGCCCAGCCTGGCCTCGAACTCCTGACAATCCTCCTGCCTCAGCCTCCTGAGTGGGGGGATTACAGGTGTGGACGATCACAACTGGCTCCAGGAATTTTCTGTATGCACACCATGCAGGTCCCCAAAATGGAAATACATTTTCTTATGTCCAAAAAGGTAGAGAGTGTATACAGAGATTTTAGGCATTATAATGGTTCCAGGTTAAGAAATACTAACTCATTGCCAGTGTTTTGTAGGAACTGACTGCCTACAAAACTCTGGGTTATATGGGTGTTGGGCAGTTTTGTATAGCAGTTTTACAGATGGGTAATCAGTACTTTCTAGCAGTTTTCCTTGGGCAAAAGTTACAGTTTCTTTTCTTTTTTTTCCAATGGTGAGGATTGGACCCAGATCCTTCATGGTGACCTGTGTACACCCCCCAGCCTTTTTAAAAAAAATTTTTTTTTAATTTGGAGACAAGGTCTCACTAAATTGTTAAATGGCCAGCCTGGGCTCAAACTTGCAATCCTCCTGCTTCAGCCTCCTACAATTACCAGGATTAAAGGCATAAGCCACTGGTACCAGTTCAGTTTGTGTTTCCTACCTGTCAAAAAAGATAATATTAGATACTTTGGTGTTTCGGGGAGGATTGAATCAATTTATGCACACCACACTTTTAGGATTGGCCTGATGCTTTGTGATCAGGAGGCTGCGATTGTGGGCTCCGTGAGATTCCATCGCATTGTCTTCCCAAATTCATGCCTAACACAGAAACTGCTCAATCAGGTCCAGGGCTGCCCCATGTCATTTTCCATCGATGTGGGCTGTTTGGGACACAAACATGCCCCTCCTGCTCCCACAGCTCGAGGCTGGAGGAAACTGGCTCCCTCTTCAGCAAATACCTGTGGCTTTCTGAGCAACCCCGCAAACAGCCTGGGAAGTGAGATTGGCTGGGGCCACAAGGCAGGTGGTTTCCAAGGTTAGTGGTTTCCAGTGGGGGTCCTGAGTCAGAGGCAGCACATAGTGCAAGAGTGGTTAGCTATAGCCTTGGCTTGAAGCCCCTTCGGGATTTAATGTGCTTGTGTTTGCCTGAAGGCTGTTTATGATGAGATCTCTTCACACGCTTAGCAGCCGCTTAGACGTCTGCATTTATTTGAAGTGCCTGTCAGTGGTTTGCTTCTTTTTGTGTTAGGTCACTGTCTTTTGTATGAATCTTTTTTTTTTTTGTATGAATATTATATATGGATAGATATAGCTAATTCAGTTAGCCCTTAGTTGTGGAAGTATAGAAGTAAATACCATCTCCCATTCTGTGGCCTGCTTTTTCATTCTATTAATGGATTTCTTTCTTCAAGAAATGGAGAGAGCGGCTAGAAAGGGAGAAAAAGAGGCTAAAAAAGAATTAAGGGGGGCTGGGGATTTAGCTCAGCGGCACAGCGCCTGCCTGGCAAGCACAAGGTCGTGAGTTCGATTCCTGGTATCTAAAAAAAACAAAAACAAACAAACAAACAAAAAAAAAAGAATTAAGGTGTGTTATGTACATACACCAACTCCACCTAAGGAATGTGAACATTATGTACCATAAGTATGTACTAATAAAAAGTTTTAAAAATAAAAAATTGATTCCCAAGATGAAAAGATTGATAATATTTAGTGTTGGTGAAATTGTAGGGAAATAGGCTTTCTCATATGATATACTTAAGCATATAAATAAGTTTCATTTTGTGGAAAATAATTTGCAGTAACTGTTAAATGTTCACATATTTCTTTTTAAGGTTTTCCACAAAGGATGTACATTGTAGCACCTTTTACACTCTCAAAACCCTGGACACAAGCATTCCCTAGATTCCCAATGCCTAGAAGCAACCCAGAATTTTCTGATGAAATTAATGTTTGGCGCTCACCTTGGAGCAATCAGTATTCTTTTTCTCACTCAGCTGTGGAAATCTCTCTAAGCCACTGATTTAGAGCTGACTCCTTTTTTTGTGGCTACACAGCACGGCACAGCATGGGTGGAACACAATTTATTCAATCCCTCTTCTGCTGAAGGGCATTGATTGTTTTCAGTATCTGCCCCTACAAACAGATCTGTTTATCTTAAATATCTATTGTAGCTGGACATTGTGGCACACGCCTATAACCCCAACACTTTGGGAAGCTGAGGCAGGACTGCAAATTCAAGCCTAGCTTGGCTAACTCAGTGACTTAGTGAGTGAGACTCTTTCTCAAAATAAAAATAAAGGGCCAGGGATATAGCTCAGTGGCACAAGCACCTGCCTGGCAAGTGCAAGGTCCTGGGTTCAATTC